GCGAGCAGACGCTTCACTCCATTCACTCCTGATTTAATGAAGATTTAAGATACGTAACAGCCCATTCAGCTATATGATGCATCCAGTACAAGAGCCAGACCTGTGCCGACTACCAATCTGTCTGTATGTCTGCTGCTGTTAAACACTTATTAAATGCTCGCTGGAGCGTGACTGATGTGGGTTTATCTGAAGGCTAAAGCTGATAGTCGACTGAATGTGGTGTTTATGTTTAAATTTGATAATTTTCTCGCCAAGACACACGCTTCATCCGCAACTGTATCGTCATCTGAGCCTCAAACTCTCCATTAAAACCTGACTAACAAAATTCTTTAAAGGGTCAGTTCATCTAATCAAAAACTCTCTCATTCACTCACTTTAATGCAGCAAAATTCACAATAAATTAAAGCTGCAAGCAGCGATGAGCGGGCCCTTACGGTAAGCTTTATATGGCTTACTTCCTGTTTCCAGTAGTTGGCACTATGACTAAATATTGGCATGTCGTTGTCTTCAGGGCGGGACTGCAGATTGGATAAAGTACACTGAAGTTATGGCAACTTCCTGTTTTATGGTGCGATTTTGAAATTCAAATTCCTGGACCATCGCATATACACTGCATCTACAGTGAGGCCCAACAAAGCTGAAATTCTTTCTGAAGCTCTAAAATGATTCGTGTAGCTCAGAAATAAAGGTAATATCGAACAGTTAATACCCAGTTTAAGGTGTTACGCCTCCTCTCTGGACTCTACTGGAGGGATGACCACCGCCTGATGATGGTTGTTAAGAGCGTCGGTCCAATATCTCCTACAAGTGTTCAGTTGAGATCTCTCTTCATCTTCATCATCAACAAACCATTCAGTAACCCGTGACCCAGTGATTGTCAACCCGGAAGATGCCACTTCCATCAGGATAGAATTGTTTCATCGCAGGATAAAGTTGATCACTCAGAACAGCTTTGTACTGATCTGCAGTGAGTCCACGCCAGTAAAATACCCCCACAGCATAGCAGAGCAACTGGATGCATTCAGGCCTTTGTCGTCGAGAATCTGGTGACTCATCTTAACACATTCTTCAACCTTTCTCTCTGAACTCTCTAACATGCATTCCTCTTTATAATGAGGGGTTAATGCTCTGCAGCCGTGCTATAATACCCCCTCTGTGTATCTGTTGAAGGACTGTTACCGACAGTCTGATCACGTTCTGCATTGACATTCTGTCACCTGAGTGCTGTCGACCACAATTTCCAACTCTACTTTCTGATGTTTTTCCCAGGGAGATTTTGTTAGACAGCTCTCTCCACCGCCATCAAAATACTAAATGAGGCGGCGCCCCGGAAGCTCACCTGGTAGAACCGGTGCCCCGTGTGAGGCGGAGTCCTCACTGCAGCGGCCATGGGTTCAAATCAGACTGTCATCCTTTTTCTCACTCCTGTCCTGTCTAATAAAGGGGAAATGCTCCAACAAAATATATTAAGAATACCAAAAGAGGGAATATCTTTTATCGACCATCTTCCTTCCAGTAGAGTCCAGAGACTGTAGAATTAATGCCTACATGTCTACAGCTTTCACTTCGAGGTTGACAGCCTGTTTGCGATTGAGTCGGCCATCGGCGTATAGGCAGGACCTCGACACCAACCCCCGATCACTACTGCACACTCTGGCTCCAAATGGCCATATCTGTTATATTTTGTACAGTAGGAGGAAGTGGTGACGTTCATTTTTTTATATGTCCAGACAAACTATGAACGTTTTACATAGTGAGTCTGGAACATCCAGGACAAGTTGCAGTTGAGGCTTTCGGAGCGATACCTGAAAAATAAAACCCAAACTTCCACCAGTCGAACATGAGAGGTTCTTTTGGATATTTGATTGAAATGACCTTTTAAACCCAGAGATACATTTGGGCTTTTAGTGACAGCCTCTAATTCACAGCTGAAAAATGATTAAATTCCAGGTTTTACAAACTGTTTATGAAGCTGACATCAAACTTCAGTTAAAATCACACATTTCCCTCCGGAGTGAACACTGCAGCATTGGACAGGTGTTTCATGTCATGGTTGCTGTTTGAACTCGGTCAGCGTTTGGTTGCTGATCTTTATCTGCAGGAACAGATCACAGATCCACCTCTCTTTCGTCAGCCTTGAAACCTGAATGCGGCTCTCGACCCATCGATGAGTCACTGAAGGAAAGTTTGCACTTTGTAGCAGAAAGCCAGGAAGTACATCAAACAGTAATCAACAACCTGAAAGTATCCAGCAGGGAGTTCGAGAGCCTCTCTGAAGAACATTTCTACATTTCTGCTGCTTTTTTCCAAAGAGAGTTGATTTTTTTGTCTGGGAAGTTTTGGGGATGTGTTTCTTTCATAAAGTTGTCGGTATGAGGAAGTGAAGTGTTTGTTTATGTTCTTCACTTTCTCGCCTTTTGGGAGGTGATGTGAGGGTGCCGTTTTGTCGGTGATGGTGAATCGATGTGTCGCCCCGAAACAGATGGTTGTTTTCATGTTTTCAGACGCTACAAAGATTCATTTGTGTTTCAATCTTCAATCAGTTTTAAAGTAATTAGTGAGCCTCATTTCTCTTGTCAGCTCTGCTTTTGGAATAAAACAAGGAAACAACTGATTTTAAAACTGAACTCAAGACGAAACAACTTCTTATTTTTGCAGAACAAGCTGCAGCTCCAGTCTTCACCTGTAGAGAAGCTTCCTTAATCTCTGTAGATCCTTATTTTACACCCCACTCTGTAGAAAGATTTAAGTAATGTATGTTTTATGTTCCCCTCCATAAACGTCTGCCACGCTTTATGTCTCGCTGATTTCTCCCCTCCTCTAACTGCAGTGACTGCAGGGAACTGGTTTATTGTTCAAGGCTGATCTGAGAACAGCAGAGCGGGGCTCAATGTTTACATGCAGTGAGTTAATGGAGACCTGCAAGAAGAAATGGACCCACTGAACATCAATATCACGCTGACTGGGATTCTTTGTTCCATGTTTGTTTTATCATTTTGCATGAGCCCTTTTCCAGTGCATCTGCCTGTGTATTAACAGATCCAGAATTAATGCAAAATTACACTAAAGTCCCCACAAAGTCAGAATTGATGTTTAAATGTTTTTTTAAAAATCTGTCTGGTGCTGTATGTCTCCTATACTCCAGTATCTGTCCAACAATGACAAAAAAGTAATTTTTTATGTATTTCCAGGTATTCTTAATAGTATTTTCTATCTAGGGTCTCTCTGATTACTGTAGAAAAGCTCAACTTTATAACTATATTCAGTGATTTTGGTGAAACTGGATCAGATTTTCCCTCTGACGTCCTCCGGCTGCTCAGCTTCAACTCTCTGTGATTCACAGAGCTAATGGCAGGTGATTGATCAAAACAGAAAGGTCCTACAGGGATGTTTACACAATGTCCTGGAGGGACTTATATAATTATTATTAATAATAATAATAATATCAATTCCAGCTCCACTTAAAGTAGAAATAATAAATTAAAAGTTAAATTTATTTTGTCTCAACATATTGTGGAGGAGATCCTCATGTGGACACACAGAAATCTGTTCTTGTCCAGGTCCATCAAATTAAAAGGTTTTAAAAGTAGAAAACTCAGTCATCTTACATGAATGAAATGCAGCACGCCACATTGCAGGCTTTTATTTTGTATTTTATTTCATTTCCCTATGAAGAGACATTCTCCTGCCTGGAGCTGGTAAAGAGAATATTTTGCTCAGGGGCACTTCAGCAGGGATGAGGCTCTTTCATATGTTAATACACGGGTTGATAAACAGGAAGTCCATTTGACCATTGTTCCCATTAACTGACCCCAGGCTGCATGTAAACATGGCCGCTGCCTCCTGATTGGTTGCTGTCATCTGTGGACGACATCTAACTTGTGTTTTTTTACTTCTAATCAATCGACAGCCCAGCAGAACCCGGCCCCACCCATACCGGCCCGGCAGTACGAGGTGGCCATGAACCGGCAGCAGCGCTACTTCCGCATCCCCTTTATCCGGCCGGGCGACCAGTACAAAGACCCCCAGAACAAGAAGAAGGGCTGGTGGTACGCTCACTTCGACGGGCCCTGGATCGCCAGGCAGATGGAGCTGCATCCCGATAAACACCCCATCCTGCTGGTGGCCGGTCAGTACGGGGAGGGAGAGGAGGAGGGAAAGGTTGAGGCAGCTGGAAATAATCCATTACTTTAACAAACAAAACTGGATTTTAATCGTGGTAAAAGTGTTGGAAGGGATAAGTAAAGCAATAATATTACTTTTGAAATAATAATAAATTACACTTTTTGAGTAACTAGCCTCTAAATCTCACTAATTAACACGAAAATCTGAACCAAGTAAAAGAGTTAAATATACATTCAATGGTTGTGTACGTGATATTATGCTAAGCTAACAGATCTCAAACAACAAAAGTCAGCAGTTAATGATCGATAAAGAAATCTGCAACGTTTATTTTTTAAATGTTTCAGTTTTATATCAAAGAATTTGAGGATTATGTAATTTCTGTGTGCAGCATGTTTTATTACAGGGAAACTCAAAGTGCTTTAGATTCAAATATAAAATCTATAAATCATCCTCATTGGATCTGGAGGACTGCAGGGAGGAAGAAAAGGATAGAAGAAGAGTGGAGGGAGGTTAAAGACAGAGCGTGACTCTTCATTGATCAGCTTTAATAAATGATCAGGAGTTTGACTTTGTGACAGAGCGGCAGATTCTTCATCGTCGTCGTCATCATCATCAGCTGTGATCATAAAGCAGTCAGGTCGGTCATATGAGTCCGATATGAGTCACAGAGCAGTTAGACTCTCATCAGAACGTGATTGTGACTAATGTGCTGACTCATGTTACATCACTTTATATATAAAGAGTTTCTGAGACGTTTTATTTTCTGAGCAGAGCTCAGCTCTGTTTTACAACCTCCTATAAAACCATACAAAATAATAATTCATCACGAAGTTGGACTGAAACCACTGAAGTTGTTGCATCGCTCGCTGGAAATACAAGTCAAAAGTGAATTTCTGATTTATTGTTTTATTAGTGAAAAGAATGAAAAGAAGAAATTTTCCTTTAACCTCGAAGTCTGAGCAGCAGCGAGATACAAACACATGTATTTAAAGTCAAATTAAAGGTCAGGAAGGTCCGTCTACATAAAATATCTAGTGAAGTATATGAGCAGCAGGGAGCGACGTGCTGCAGTTGGACTCACCTGTATGTACTTTGTTTAATCTGTACAGACACACAAAGGTAAATATTACATGCTGTGGCTTTTGGAAGCTGCACACAGTCGCTGTACTGGGACTTTATTTGCCAGTAAAGAGTGGAACCAGTAGATAAAAGTGAGTTTTGTGGGTGTACTTTCGAATGAAGCTAAGCTAATCGCGTCCCGACACCAACAGGTGACCCTCCCCTGCCTCTCGGGGCTCGGCTCAGCACAGAATGAACGAAAACAGCTGCTCAGATGTCGACAGCGTTTGTGCCACAGCGAGCTGTAAAATCACAGATTGGAGCGAATGACGAGTGGAAGCAGTGAAATGAAGTTGTTTACCCATCTGTTGGAACTCCTACCGCAGAGTTCTGAAAGGATTGCAGTCCACTGCGGGCTGAGCGATGTTGGAGAGTTCTGGGTTTATGAGATCACGTCGCAGTGTGATTTAAAAACCGGGTAGTCGTCGATCAACAGAAGGCTCATATTGTAGTGAAATTGTTGGTATTTTGGGGCAGCAGCGCTCGCAGACAACAGCAGTATGTGGCTGAGTAACTGCCTCATATACGGCTGCTAACACACTGCTGGAACCTGTTATTGGCTCTGCAGCTGCAGATGGAGTCTGTTATACTGACTGAATGTAAATGTCCAGAGAGGGAAATATACAGTCTGCTGGGTTCAGTTGTTCTGTTCCTACAGTTTTTATTCAGGATACAGAAACTGCAAACTCACCTGTTTAAAGGAGCTTTAACTTACCTGAGACTCAGTATATTAAGACAATAAAACTTTACTTGTGTCATTTAGTCATCTTCCTATTATACGGTTTGTCTGAAAGAAGTGAAATATTTCAACATATGTTGTATATATGTTGTACATTAACATATAACTTAATGTCCTAAATGTGAGTGAATTATATTTCTTTGCTACATTAAGAGTTTGAATAAGTAAAGTTTAGCATGTTAGCGTTTAACATCAGTAAAATATTTTAATATTTAATTTTAAGCTACTTAATTTGTTAACTTTAGCATTTTAGCATGAGTGAACTATATTACTGACATGCTACATTCTGACTTTGCATATTAAGACAATAAAACCGTTTTTATTTTTGTAATTTTCCTGTTGTATTCCTCACAATAGGGCTAGTAAATAAATGTTTTTGCGGCTCTGGGGAGGTTTTTCAGTCAGGAAGAAGGGAAATGTCGGCACACAAAGTCAATAAACCTGTTATCGTTTCTCAGGGAAGGACGATATGGAGATGTGTGAGCTGAGTCTGGAGGAGACGGGCCTGTCAAGGAAGAGGGGCGCCGAGATCCTCCCACGGCAGTTCGAGGAGATCTGGGAGCGCTGCGGCGGGATCCAGTACCTTCGCAGCGCCATTGAGAGCCGGCAGGCCCGACCCACCTACGCCACAGCCATGCTGCAGAGCATGTTCAAGTGACGGAGCCTGGGGGGGAGGTTGGGCGGGGCTCCTCGCTGCAAACAAAGGGACAAACGCACCAGCTACCTGACGGATGGCGTGTGAGCGCACCGCACCGGGTTCTGACTGACGGCGAACAGCGACTTTTCTGTCCTTTTGTTTTTCTTGTTTTCGTTGCGGGAAGTTTTGCAGTGAACCCTATGCAGAAAAATCATACTAAATTATCACATCCGGTTGTTGTCTAACTTTGAGGCCTTAATACGACTTTAACAGGGTTTAATCGCCACAAGTTTCTTTCCTTTCAAAGCTGCCTCCCCAAACAAGAAATTCCCTTTGTAATTATGCATTCCTGATTAAGTCTCACCTGTGTGTCGCTTCCATCTTAACAGCTAGCTGGTGATCCCTCTCCCACTTTAAACCTGCTGTTTACATCGTCTTCACGTGGTTCTTACAGGCGAAACACTTGCACAAGGAGTTCACGGTGAGGCGGAGCTGCACGTTCCTCGTTAATTAAGTCGAATATTTGCTAATACTTTTTTTTTTATTTTACCTTTCGTCTTTCCGACCGAATGTAACCTGAGACCTCGTTGATTTGTCTGAGTAGTGATTTCCCTCTTTCTTCCTCTCATCCTGTGTGATTAATGTGTAATGAGTCCGAAATGAGACCAAACGGCGCTCCGGGCGGGAAGCCGGAGCGGCGATTCGACGCCGTGATTTATCAAGCTAAAAGCAGAAAATGTGAAATAATTATGCAAAAGCTGAGATGCAACTGCTCCTGTGCTGTTTGAGAGCAGATCAGCGCTCGTTCGCACCATCTGCATCTTTAAATCTGATCTTTTTACATGAGGAAATGTAATTTGCCAACGCAGTGATTCCCAAGGTAGTTTTTCATCGATGTTATCCAATATAAATCAGATCTGTCTGTGGACTGGTACTCGAACTGGAACATTCATACGACACTGAACATTTTCTACACATTAAGTACAGTATATGCATCCAACAGCGATGATCCAACTGGAATGTAAAAGTTTATTTTTGAGACTTTGTACTTCAGCGGCTCGGGCACGTGAGGTTGTCAAGAGAAGCAATAAATCAAAAGCTAAAAGAGAGAAAAACACAGGCCTCTTCTGACGGGTATGTTACAGATATACAGACAATCTGCTGCGACGTTACACCTTTACTCTGCTCACCTGTTGCCAAGGTTGTTTGTTTTTTTCTCTTCACAGCAAAAAGGTGACGTAGATCTGAAAGCATGAAGATCTGTCTTGTTGCAAAGTAGCTGAACCCCGTTTTACAGACGGCATTACCACGCAGCAAAACAGGCTCGAAACCAACCAACCAACCAGACACTGAAGGTCTCACAGCAAGAAGAGTCTAAAATCGAATAATCAGAATTTTAGGTCTTAAAGGACCAGTGTAGGACAAACTACAGACGGTGGCCGTGAAACTCACAGTAGTTCCTATCTAGATCTAGTGTTTGGTTGGTCCATTCTGGGCTACTGTAGAAACATGGCGGACTCCATCAGAAGAGGACCCGCTCCCTCTG